ATTCACAGAGACCGCCGCAGCTCAGCAAAGAGACATGCGTGCGTGTGTTTTCCTTTGAAAAAAAAGTTTCCCCAGACATACCTCGCTATTTAATGCATTTATCCTTACAAATTGGATTATCAGCATAACGAGTAAATGTGTAAAAGGTATGGCATGAATTTGCCATCCTTCTAGAACAATGTGCATTCATGTTAAAATTGTAACATTATCAAGTTTGTTTTTATATCTTTCTTGCAAAACGCTAAAAGTGGCAACGTTTTGGGGAGAAACGGGCTCTCATTTGAACCCATATCATGGTGTGTGATGCTGAACTATGAGTTTCTAATGGTGTTTGTATTTGCACTGTTCTAAACATTAATATTTTATGTGCAACAACAGCATGCTGTCTCAGTGGCCTTACACATGATTTTAAATCTATTTTTTCAAACTTTGATTTAAATGGGGATGATTGTACTGAGAATAACTTTCATCTTTTCTTCAACTGAATACTGTCTCCATGCTGTTTTGATGCATTTTAAAGAGTTGTCAGTCAATTAAAACTGCTGGATGATAGACATTCTTCATTCTTTGACGAGATAATGTGAATTACAGAATGTACAACGTTTTTAAAATGTATAAGTTGCGGTGTACAGCGTTTATTATGATGAGTACTTTTAATAGGCTACTCTTACTCAAGTAGTTTTTTGGACAAGTACTTTTACAGTACTCACTAAATTTTTTGGAAGGTAATGGTACTTTTGCTTGAGTATATTTTCAGTACTCCTTCCACCACTGCCGGTCACTTACCTTTGATAGTGGCATTGAACGCTAACAACTGCATGATCGGCACGTGTAATCGGAGTTCCAGCAAACGCCTCAGGAGTATAGGTAAGAGCAAAGGTGTAGACAAGTTCATCCTCAGTCATCTGTAAGAGATTGAAGTTGTTACCATGAGAGGTCACTTCTACTCTTAAAAAAGGTTCAAAAAAAAAAACCCAACTATAGAAATGGAAAGGTCCATGTTAAACAGTCAAGTTACAATTGACAAAGAACCTTTTTTTTTTTGGTGTACAAATAATCCAGTAACACTTAACGGTTCTTACCATCAGCACACTATTGCAGTCCTGTAGTTCATATTCAAAGATGAGCACCCTAGAGACAGAGTCCTCACCAACAACAGGACAGCCTCCCATAGACAAACCAGATGGCTGGATCAGTTGGCCATTGCTAAACAAATCCTTCTTTACCTCCACAAGAACCCGGTTCTCACCGCATTGAACAGCCACACTACTGGGAGTCACGGGTTGCCTCAACTGGAAGTCCACTGCCAACTCACTTTGCACCTCTGGAACGATGGGAAACCTCCAGTCCAAAGGCTTGACTGGACCCTGCAACAGCTGCTTCTCCTGAAAACCAAAAGGCTCTTGTGCAAATCTTCTGGAGTCCAGACTCTGAAACTGAGAAGCCTTTTGCAAAGGATTCAAGACCCCTTGAGAAGAAACAGCAGGAACTCTGGAAGCTGGACCTGATTGCGGCTTCATGCTGCTTGGACTTTGACTGTGTCTCAAACTTCCCCATGCACATGCCAAGTTCATGGGTTTGATTCCCAGGAAATGCATTAAGAGGTGACATGTACACCTTCAATTCAATGCTAGTCACTTTGGATAAAAGCATCTGTCAAATGCATAAATGCAAATATAAAATCTTTATCATAACTTGTTTAATGCAAAATTGGGAACAAATTATTTTTTAAACATACATTTTTGTAGCTCAAGGCCATAGGTTTGATTCCCTGCAAATTCGCATGAACTTTCCAAATGATTATTTTACATGCAGTTTTCTTTTTTACTCAAATAATTGCAATACATGCCAAATGTGTAGCTTCTTACATCTGAAAAACATATTACAATAATTCACATCAATTATTGTCTTGTGAAGAGAAAAGGTGTGTGTTTGTAAGAAACAAATCCATCAAGATGTTTTTAACTTTAAACTTACTTCTGGCCAAAATATCAATAATCCATAACGCTTGCTTGTAAAGAGTACTTGATCTGTGCATATTTCTATCCTGATTCAGATGAGACCACCTTTTTACTGGAGGAAGCAATATTATGGATTATGGACTCAAGTTAAAATGCCTGGATTAATTTATTACAAACAGACAGGTTTTTGCGTCTCAGGGCAATTATTGATGGACTGGAATCATGTGGATTACTTGTGGATTTTGTTTGATCAAAAATACAACACAAATTGTTGATCTTGAGTCTTGTAGTTAACGTGCAAAGGAGAGAGCAAAACAAAACACCGGTCACAATTTAGAAGTACAAAACAAGGATTTGTAAAGAAAAATGTCAGAGGATCTCAATATAAGAAAAGAGACTGGTTTTCCTTTGCTAAACAAAGGAAACTTTGCTTCTCTAAACAAAACTTGGTTTTTGAGACTAACATTCTCACCAAAGCATATAAGAAACAAATCCATCATTAAGATGTTTTTAACTTTAAACTGTTACTTCTGGCCAAAATATCTATAATCCATAACACTTGCTCGTAAAGAGTACTTGATCTGTGCATATTTCTATTCTGATTCAGATGAGACCACCTTTTTAATGGAGGAAGCAATATTATGGATTATGGACTCATGTTAAAACACCTTGATTAAATTACAAACACGCAGGTTTTTTCTTCACATGGCATTTAGTGATGGACTGGAGTCATATGGATTACTTGTGGATTTTGTTTGATCAAAAATACAACACAAATTGTTGATCTTGAGTCTTGGAGTTAAAATGAGTCAATCATCCTAAACTGAAAGTAACATCAATAGTGAAACATGGCTCCAGGGAGTTAAAGGCCTCCTGAAGCAAATCGATGTGTATTTGGAATAAAAATATCCATATTTAAATCTTTATAGACCATAATCTTTAGCTTACACTAACTGACATATGCATGTCCATGAGAGTGGTGTTCCAGCAGATGACGAGAGGCTCTCCAGTGAGAGGCAACGAACACAGACGTGCAGAAAGGAAACTTTGCTTCTCTAAACAAAACTTGGTTCTTGTGACACTAACATTCTCACCGAAGCATATGCTACTGTACATATCAGCTGGAACGCCACTGTCTAGTGAACACACGTACCAGTTAGCAGAAGATAGATTACACTTTATGAAGTCATAAACATGGATATTATGTCAAATACAGTCACTTCAAAACCTTTATTAACCACCCAGAACTGTGTGGACCACTTATTTTTATGGATGGACACAATTTATTGGACTACAATTTAATAATCACCCATTCACAGTTCTGTGAGTTTGGCACACTGCCTATAAAACCATACTTAAGTGAGATGCATGCCACTTTCCCCAAGTTAAAATGTATAAGACTGTAAACCAACTGAAGGGGGAGAAAAAAAAAAAAATTTTTCCAAAAAGTGGGAAATTCAGTTGAAAACTGGAAGTGCATTTCTTTTAAGATACCCATTGATCTAAAAGTATGCATGTACCAGCAGGAACATTGGGAAGCAAATTTAAAAATGATAAATTATATTTGGTGACAAAAGGAGAATTAAAACTACTCATTTGCGGTTACTAACAAAGAAAGCAACAAGTACACAACATAAGATGCATACAGAATATCTGCAGTGCTTCAGGGAAGTGGGTGTTTAAGAACATTTGGGGCAGAGACTCCGATTGGCAGAACAAGTTATAGCATCATGGGCAATGGACTTCACTTAATTTAAACTGAGCTTAAACCAAGTTCACAGTAGGTCTCTTTAAAGGTAAAGTTAACTTCCCTACTGAGAAAAGGGAGCTTTTCCTTCCAAATACAGAACACGTACAGTAGGACTACCAGTTTCCCCACACTTCGGCACATTCAAATCCAAATTGGTTAAACTACACAGGATGACAAGAAAAGGTTTCTCCATTTATTGAAAACCAGCTAAAGTCTTCTGTCGCTCTTGAACCATTACAGGACCGAGTGAGGCATTGCCTTCCCACTGAACGCCTAGAAAAAGCAAATACCCAAGTTAAGTTGAGCACTTGAAGGGTCAAAAGCAATCTTAAAGCAGCTACCTACCCCCAAAAGGAACAGCATTTCCTCCATCAGGACCACATGTTGAGTCACAGCAACCACAAGCCTGGTGGTTCCCATCAGCAGCAAGCCACCTGCAACAAGAAAAATCAGACACGGCACATTCAACATGTTCTTAAGCAGCATGAACATACCCGTTGGAAAAGGAACAGGATTTGCGGAGAGCATCACTGGGTGCAGAAGCAAGAGTGGCCTTCACAATACACGTTATGTAGATCTGCAAGAGACACGCAAGAGGTCACAAAACCAAAGCAGATGGGAAGAGAAGTCGAATTCAACATGTACGTACAGAAGGACTGTATCCTCCCTGGAACATGAAGGCCTCCAGCTGGAACCGGATCTGTTCTTCCTGGGTTCGAGGCATGAAGCAGGAGCTGGAAGCCGTAGCCTTGGCATCCACAAAGCACCTAAGAAGTGACAAAGAACTCAATGTCATCTCTCTAGCATCAAGTCACTAGACCTTACCCTAATTCTCAGGGACAAAGTTGTGAAAGAGCAGCTGCATGCATCAAGTGCCATGCCCCGTGCTGCGTTCCAATGTGGCTACTTACACGATGCCCTTAAAGTACATACGCTTTTGCTGAAAAGGTACAGTTTTGGGTGTGTGGTAGGAGAGTAGGCAAGCTTTGGGACAAGCTCTCACATCATACATTTGAATTGTTAAAGGACCTCTGTCGTATAGTTACACGCACCCTTTCACTAAACTGGCTTGTTCATCATCATCAGTTTCACTTAACAGCCTACACATTGCATTTCCTACCATATTGAGAGAAAAGTAGCACGTTGAGCTGCCAGCCATGGGTCTACGTGGAGAACTCTGCTTATTTTTGCATGAGCAAAGTTAAGGGCCAAATGGCTTTATAAAAGGTTATAAACTGTCGGACAAAGTCTGAAATTTACTGCGTAACAGGGTTTCTTGAACACCAAATCTTTACAGACAGTTGACAATAGACCGACCATATAATTAAATTCCTGTTTTTTTTTTTTTTATAAGTGTACCTTAAGATACTTTTGTACATCAGGCTGTACTAGAACAGAATCACTCAATTCAATCTTGGGACCTTGTATTGACAATTTGATGTAGAAGCACAAGTTCATTAAACATGACTAGGGTTAGAAACTATTCTTGGCCAGCCTTAAGGGGTTCATACGATAACATACATAACCCTTCAAGATGTTGTCCTACTATCTTTGAACAGATTTTAATTTGGTTGACATCGTTAAGAAATACCACTAAATGCTTGTTGCCAGGTTACGTGTGGATTAGTGACTAAACCCTTTATCTAAACTTTAACAATTAGCCGCACACATCCACCATGTTTGTCATTTCATATTTTTATTTTTTTTTCCATTCATGTTTGCCCAGTTCTCACCGCATTGAACAGCCACACTACTGGGAGTCACGGGTTGCCTCAACTGGAAGTCCACTGCCAACTCGCTTTGCACCTCTGGAACAATGGGAAATCGCCAATCCAAAGGCTTCACTGGACCCTGCAACAGCTGCTTCTCCTGAAAACCAAGAGGCTCTTGCGCAAATCTTCTGGAGTCCAGACTCTGAAACTGAGAAGCCTTTTGTAAAGGATTCAAGACCCCTTTTTATCATAACTTGTTTAATGCAAAATTGGGAACAAATGATTTTTTAAACATACATTTTTGTAGCTCAAGGCCATGGGTTTGATTCCTTGCAAATTCCCATGAACTTTCCAAATGATTATACATGCAGTTTTTTTTTTACTCAAATAATTGCAATACATGCCAAATGTGTAGCTTCTTACATCTGAAAAACACATTACAATAATCCACATCAATTATTGTCTTGTGAAGCCATAATCCATAACGCTTGCTTGTAAAGAGTACTTGATCTGTGCATATTTATATCCTGATTCAGATGAGACCACCTTTTTACTGGAGGAAGCAATATTATGGACTCAAGTTAAAACACCTTGATTAATTTATTACAAACACGCAGGTTTTTGCTTCACAGGGCATTCATTGATGGACTGGAGTCGTGTGGCTTACTTGTGGATTTTGTTTTATCAAAAATACAACAAATTGTTGATCTTGAGTTTTAAACGGAAATCAGTTCTTGACTGTCTTGAAGCGTTAAAATGAGTCAATCATCCTAAACTGAAAGTAATATTAATACTGAAACATGGCTCCAGGGGGTTAATAAAGGCCTCCTGAAGCAAATCGATGTGTATTTGGAATAGAAATATCCATATTTAAAACTTCATAAACCATAATCTTTAGCTTCCACTAACTGTTGTACGTGTCCATGAGAGAGTGGCGTTCCAGCAGCTGACGTAGGTACAGTGTAATCTCCAGCGAGAGGCAACACAGACACGCAGAGGAGAGAGCAAAACAAAACACCAGTCACGATTTAGAAGTACAAAAAGGATTTGTAGAGAAAAATGTCAGACGATTTTGATATAAGCCAAGAGGAGACTGGTTTCCTTTGCTAAAGGAAACTTTACTTCTGTAAACAAAACTTGGTTCTTGTGAGACTAACATTCTCACCGAGTGGCCT